ACAATGGAAGTTGATAACAACGGCAATTAAAGAAGATAAAGAAGACACCAATTTAACGTGGTTAGGTAAGTGTGACCTACGTCCACAAGCGGAGAGGATCAATTTCACTATAGCAATAAGAGTACAAAAGAGAGTACAAAATTAGAGTAAACACTCTAATTAATCTCAAATACCCTAAGAGAATAACCTCACAAGATCACTCCAAAGAAAGGGTTCACACAAGTGCTTCCCAACACTAACTCTCATACAAAACACTCTTAATAAATGAGGAAAGGAAGAAACAAGAAATGAAGACTCAAGTCTTGTTGGTGTGTTTACAAATGGGTAGAGAGTCCTCATTATATAGGAAGGGAAGAAAGAAATGCTTGGTAAACAATTGGCCACATCCTCTCAAAATACAAGGCCATTTTTTTGGCCAACAAGGCCTTAAATAAAAAGCTCCAAATGTGCCAACAAGACTCACAAATAAAAAGCCTAAAAATAAGGCCACCTTTTACACACAGCCTAAGCATAAAGGCCGTATACTTGCTATGACATGGATTTTATACTGTAGAGGATTTTATCTTGTTCCTTGGATTTATTTTTTTTTGTCTATCATTTTGTTTCATATTGCCTTAACACCCTCATTTCATATAAATTAATATTCTTAACTTGCGTCTACTTATTTGCCTAACTATGTTTTGTTCTCTTTTTTCATCTAGTAAGTAAATAATTTTTTAGACAAAGATATCCCAGGATGCAACCTGTATTACTACCAGTACACCTTACCCACTTTCTGACATCCCTCCGAGCCCCATATTTTTGTGCATTCATGCTCATGTGAAACTTAAAAAATTTAGTGTTGATTGTCAGCTGTTTAAATTTTTTTACCTTGCTCTTTCATATGAGTAAGTAGATTTCTAGTCCTTATCAAAGCCAACCCCATCATGACTTTACCACATTAGGGTGGTCTTATTGAGTGTAGGAAGGATTTTATGCAAGTTGAACCACTAGAATGACCATTAACTTTAACTTATGTCTCACTTTACTTTTCTCTCTTTCATAATTCATTTCCTTATTCTTGCTGAGAATTCTAGTGTTTACTTTGGTCTTCTACTCTGTTTCAATATTTGAAACATGAACCGGTCCAAATAGTTTGTTACTTGATGTAGATCAAACTCTGCTTGATTACGAAGCGAAGAAACTCCAGAGCTTTGTAAAGGAGAAGTCTTTATGGATATCGGATCAAGGAGTTCTTGCAGATAGTATTAATCCAGATGTCCTCAGATCTATGGTGACTTTAACTGACAAACCAAAGTAGGCTTTGGCGGTTGCATTGCCCTTTTAATCTGTCTTCCTTCATCCCATAATGTGGGCGAGAATGTTTATTTCAGATACCATGATTAAGCTTCCAAGGTACTGTTGAGTTTTGAATCAATATGTTTTTTCTGGAAACACAGTTTGGTCCTTTTGAGCTGTGTGGTTCATAATTCTTCCGGTGATTATCTAATGTCTAGTCTACCGAGCAATCACTGAGATGCTAAAGATTGTTTCTTCTTTCACCAGATTCTTCTTCCTCTTATAGGCTATAGCATTAGAGAAGGGGGAAAACTTAAGTTGCGGACTTGCTTCACACTTGGGTGAAAATATCAATGTCAATGTGCTCAAGGTTGGCAAGATAGTATGGTTCACTTCGGGAAAATGAGTTTTATTAGCGCCTCCTCTTTTTCCCTCTACAGCTCAAAATCATGTACAAGTTACCTGAAAGATACAAACTATATTATCTCAGTTTCGTTAAAAGATTGTACCTGAAATGATCAAAATGGTCCTTAATGTATAGGGGTTGGAATGTTTTGGTCCTTGATATATACCACTTAACAGGAATAGTCCTTAATGTATACAAAAGGTGATAACTTTGGTCCTCAACCCTAAAACTAACAGTAGAAAACAAAAAAATTCTGTTGAACTTAACCCCAATCCCTCAAAAGCAAAGTCTGGCAGACCCCTTTCCCCCTCCTCTTCTATCTTTTGCCGTGCCAAGCTCTCAATAAAAAGACCCAGTCCCAGCTCGCATCTCTTCTACCATTTTTGTTACTACCAAAGCATCTATTTCAAACAACCAAAGCTTTTGCACATGATTGATATGTTGAATGGAAGAAAATATCCAGAACAAGAGTGAACCCATATGATATATCCTTGTATTTAAAGATCAAAACTTGTTTTTGCTCAGCAGCTACGAAGCAACTTGGACAAGACGATTTTAACTGTCCCTGTTGGCCTTGTGGCGATTGCTCTTTCTATCAATCTTTGCCAATATGAAATCTTGTCAAGCAACATTACTGATTGCATATAACGAATTGGCCCATCACCTCTTCTTCGACTATATTACTAGTCCTATAATGGCTAGAATTTTCTGGTTCACCATTATTCTGCTTCTTTGAATCTTTCCCAGCAAGAAAACAATTCAAATTTCATCAAGATACAAATCAAAAGTTTAGAATTTTGTAGCACATAGAAAACTTTTCTCTTAAGATTTAATGAAATTAAATTGGTTTTCCAAACTTGGCATACTATAGAGAATATATTTCTCAATCCATCGCTCAAGCATTAGATTCAAGTCTATGTATCTCCGGTTGCAAAATTATAAATCAAACTAAAATTTTAACAAATGAAGTGATTAAAACAGATTCGCAAGTAAATTCAAACAAGAAAAAAAGGATTTCCATTTATAAAATCCATAAGATTAACAAGCAAAACAATTTAGCTTCCCAAGCAGATCCATTCTTGTTTGAGAGAGGGTTTGGATTTAGGATCGTTAATGGTGAATGAGAGAAGAGGAGGAGGGAGTCGGGAGAGATTGGGGTGAAGTTTAACAGAATTTTTTGTTTTTTACAGTTAGTTTTAAGGTTGAGGACCAAAGCTATCACCTTTTGTATACATTAAGGACTATTCCTATTTAGTGGTATATATCAAGGACCAAAATATTCCAATCCCTATACAATAAGGACCATTTTGATCATTTTCTCATACAAGACTGTAGGATGATAAATGGTACATAAATTATTTTGGAGTATGTGTGCATGTGACTTTACTGCTCTTCTCGACTAGTGCATGCTAAAATCAATTGGCAGAGAATGGGTATTAGACAGAAAAATAAGGTATCTAAAGTCCTCTTTTTCTAGATTATCTGCTTTTGGGTAGGTCTATATTTTGGAGAATTTGATATGATAGTGTTGTGCAGGAACAACTTCAATCTCTCTCTCTCTCTCTCTCAATATTCTGATCCCCTTTTGGAAAGGGGAGAATGATTTGGTACAAGAATTAATCTTCACATGTGAATGCCACGGTCGAGAGTGAAAATGGACAAATGTGTCCTCATATTTGAGGAGACCTCCTAAATTTTCTCTGTGGAAATAAACTATTCTCTGAACTGCTACAATAAAAAAGAGAGAATTATTTGGTAGTAATTGGTATTATAATCACATTTTCACATTAAGTCAATGTGCATGCTATAGTCGAGACTCGAGAGTGAAAATTGTCTATTGTGTCCTAACCGTGGAAAGGGACATCCTTTACTACGTCTGCGGAAATAAATTCAGGTATAAACTGCTCATATAAATGCACCACAATGAAGTTGTTTTAAAACAAATTCTTAATCTTTTACCTTGGACATATGATGTTCACGTTCGAACAAAAATAGTGGGACAAAGGAAGGTGCAATAATAATGACACCATTCTTGGTATGATACACATGGCACTACATGTTAGTGAGACTGACAAAATTAAAACATAGTTGTAGGACCACAACACCATAAAAGTGTGCACATTTTTCATCTTCCGAAAGTGAATGATTGGACCCTATTTTAGTTGTGTTTGTAATTTTCTTGGCAACTTCTCTTCCTCAATTTATTGTCTTCACTGATAAGTACTACCCTTTGTTCATGGGCCAGCACTGCAGGTAGCATCAACCTTTATCATTGTTCTTGTTAGACACTCCTATAATTGAATTCATCTGAAAATCTTGGACTGAATTAGGACGAGTTCTTGACTTCAATTTAACTCATTGCTTTCCGCTCTAATTATGTATACATACGCAAAAAGGTAAATATATACATATTACTCATTTGAACCCACTGACTGTAGATCTTGAATTCGCTGTTGCAAGTAGATATATAGGTATTGGAGAGGGGAGTGGGAGGAGTCGGAATGTCGGACACCTGCCTCTGCTTGTACTCCCAATTATTTGGAAATGCATTTATGATCATTTTTTAGCCATCATTAAGATCAGTTGTGAGATGGTGACAAGACTTAGAAACAAGACGTTCGTTTTGCTGTGATGATTATGGAAATCTTATTGAGCTTTGCCTCACAAGACTTCGATATTGCCAGGGCATTTGCATTAGTTGGTATGGCCTTGCTTTAAAATCTGATCATCCGACATGTTTTTCTATTTTATATTCAACATTCTCCCATAGATAATACACATGATGACAAGTGGATACCAAAGGTGCTTAAACATATCATGATAAGCAGCAACAACAACAACCCAGTATAATTCCACTAGTGGGGTCTGGGGAAGGTAGTTTGTACGCAAACCTTACCCTTATCCTACGACAGAGAGACTGTGTCGATAGATCCTCGGCTCCATCCCTCCAAGAACTCCCCACCTTGCTCTTGTGGTGACTTGAACTCACAACCTCTTGGTTGGAAGTGGAGGGTGCTCACTGCTAAAGCAACCCACTCTTGTCAAAGTTACAGCTAAAAATCATGATAAGCATAAGCATAAATGAAGTTACATGAAGTTACAGCTTTTTTTGCAAATTGCAATATACCCTTAAATACAAGTAAAAATAAATGGCAATTACTGAAAGGGATATCTTTAAGATTTTGAGAAAAGGCCACACCGAAAGCTATATCATGTCTTCACATACATTGTTATAACTAATCAAATCTCAGTTAATTGAGATATTTATATTTTTATCTGTTTGTTGTCACGTATATTTTAGTTCTCATTTTCTCTCAATTAAATAGTTTCTGGTGCGGGCTAAAAGTGATAATATCCCTTTTGCCTTCCATGTTATTTCTTTCACCAAAGTCTTGTATTCTTGAAGATAATGTTCAGTTCTCTTTAACTTTGAGATATGGTAATGTTTTAGTTACAGATATTGTTGCTTTACATCTATCTTCTTTTCTAGTTTTCCCTGCATTGAAGCAGGAAGTCACTTTAATGTTTCGTTAAATATGTTTTCCTTGTTGTCTTGTAAACATTAAATTGATTAGTAGCAGGGGGCAATTCATTACACAAGTCTCAGCTTATCAATGTCGTCTAACTAGATTCTGTCCAAAAAAAATGGGACAGTAGTTATATAATTTTCCATTTTCAGTTGCTTAATTCCGATAACTTTCTTTGATCTGTTTTCCCATTAAGCTTTATACATCATGAACCTCTTGCAGACAACAATCTTTTAGCTCATTCGTTCTTTCTTCCTCTGTCACTTGTTATTCGTTCACTTCGATTTTTTTGATTGGCTTGCTGGGTCGAGGGTCTGGAAGGTCTATCGGAAACAGCCTCTCTATCTCAGGGTAGGGGTAAGGTCTGTGTACAAACTACCCTTCCCAAACTCCACTAGTGAAATTATACTGAGTTGTTGTTGTTGTTGTTGTTGTCGTCGTCTCAGTCGAGGGTCTATCAGAAACAGTCTCTCTATTTTTTCAAGGTAGAGGTAAGGTTTGTGTACACATTACCCTCCTTAGACCCCCAATTGTGAGACTATACTGAGTAAGTAATTATTGTTGTTATTGATTTGTACTTAACTATGTTAAATTAGTATAGTTTGGTGTAAACCGAATGTAAATAGGTTTTACACTGAAAAAAAGGGTATGGCTAATGTTCTTTTTCTTTCTTGTCCTCCATTCGAAGTGTATTTACAGTTTGACCATATTATCAATCAGACTTGTTAAGGTATTTGGAGTGACACGGTAATGGAATTTGGTTGAAAAAGAAATCGAATTCTAGCACGTTTTACCAAATTGCTTTCTACCGATTCATATTCTTTAAAAACTTTAACTTTGTTTTTCTTCTTTGGATATTATGAGTTACGTTTTGTTTGCATTTTCATCACATTCTTACGATCGATTGAACAGACACAAAAGTCACATATGAAAAAATGATGTGAACTCACAATTACAGTTTCTCTTATCTATCATTATATCCCCACTTTCATAAGTCATAAATTAATTGTGTGGGAGACATATCTTTACCATTGGTAGAAAATTAGGGATCGTTTGGTAGGAGGTATAAGAATAGTGCTGAATAAATTATATTAGTAATACTTAGTTATGCTGGCATTAGTTTCGTTGAGATTATGTCTTATCTACTGTTTGATTTAGTGTATAAAAACATTGCATAATTTCTTACAAAATTAATTGTTTACAAAAATACCCTTCACATTATTTAACTTTGTACACTATTTTTATTGCAACGGTTTTATTACTATCCACATTTTTTACTCTCTCAAGTCAACTTTTTTTTTTTTACAAGAGAGCAAAACTAAAAGAGAAAACTAATTGAAATATCAAAGTTAAAAGAGAAGAAAAATTTAATTGCTATGACATATAATACAAAATATCAATTATTAAAAAAATAGGTAAGAAAACTTCAGTTTATACTTTGGACGAATTTAAAATCAAATTTAATACTATTAAATATGATATTTTTTTTTATTACAGTAGAGTGCTAAAGGGAAAAAATTAATTAAAATATCACAATATAAAAACATACAAAATATGTCAAATAGTATTTGGATTAGGTTTTGAGAGATTCGAGGGGCAGTTATATTTTAACTAAGCTTATATATGTATTAATAATCTTGGTATTGCTAATACCCTGATTTGCTATGTATTAGCTATAAATATGATAATACCAAATAATGTGTATAACTAATGCTTGTATTAGTTATACATAAGTTGAAAAAGTATACCAAACAAGATATTACTGATATATGTATACAAAGTTAATGCATGCATTATTTTTTCAAACACACTTTACCTAACGACCTCTTAGAGGCACAATATCGTCTCTTTTATATACTATAGTAATTTAAGGGGTGTGTGATGCAAAAAGAAAAAAGAAACTAAGTGTACTTACATATGAAATGAATATGTATGTGTTTGTTCCAAACTTCTCAGGTCAAGCATACCTTCCTCTGACTAATTAGTGGACACTCACTTAGAGTCAACTCTGTGGCAGACTAGACTTTTTCCAACCTAATGCAATAAAACTCTGAAATCGCCTTAAATATTTGAATAATTATTTCTCGTAAAATAATTGAAACAAAAAAAATAAGAAAGGAAAAGATAAAAGTTGGAGTACATTCTTATTACTTGCTTGCCTATGCTGAACCACTGAACCTAAAGTACTTGATATGATATGTACTGCGGGGATGGGAGGCTTTAGAATTTGCTGTAGGAAATTAGGAATAATAAAGTTAATTTATTAAATGGTCAGTCAACTTATTAATTAAGTTTTATACGAACGTTACTGAATCAATAGAATCAATGAACTTATGATTGATTGCTCGGAAAATAAATTTGGCCAACAAAATATATTAAATCTGATCGTAAAGTTAAGTAAACAGAATAATCACCTTACATGCCAGGTTGATTCGACAAAATTATTTTATTACAGTAAAACTCGTGGTCGATGGTACTATAAATAATATATATATATATATATATATATATATATATATACACTAGTCGGACAGAATTAGTTCCATAGTCGTAATCAAGATTTGAACCTTATGGGTTCGGAATTGTAATACTTTTAAGTTACTGGGTTCTAGATTAATAAGTTGAACATATTTAATGAATTTCTCAAAATAAATACATGATTTGAATAAAAATTACTGGGTTCGGCCGAAATCGCATCCCACATTCTGCTTCCGCCCCTTATTAGTCCCTGTCATTTGTACAACTACGTACATTGAAGATTTCTTGAAATAATAGTATATGCATGCAACTGTCATGCGTTCTTAGTAAATAATAATATAATCAGAGGCGGAGTAAGTTATT